ATGGTCTGCTGCGAATCGACTAAAATGAAATATAAAAATGAAACGCCGTCAATAATCAATAACTACACATTTCAAGTTCGACACATGAGCACACAGAAAGCTGAAAAATCTATTCTCTCTTGTTGAAGAAAAAAGATAACACCTTGAGAAGTAAAGCATTAAAATCCCACTTTTTGGAAAAAAAATAATCTACTTAGAAAAAAGAATGTAAAAACTTGACGTCCAACATACCGTCCATGGTGTCCTTTGTTATAGAACACTACCAGGGCCGCTCCTGTAATTGTCGGGGCCTGAGACGAAGTCTATAAATTAGGCCCTCCGGCGAAATCAACGTAAATGCAAAATTCAACGATGTATTATGTAACCCATTACTAGCTTAAAAAATTAACATTGAAACAACGACCAAATATATTATAGAAAAGATTTATGTTATAAACTAAAAAATAATTACAAAATATCTTAATCATCTTACAGTTAGAGTTCTCAATATAGTTATTATGTACGCCTGTGCAATTGTTGATCCTACAATAATCAATTATATAAGTCGATCAGGCCGCAATTATATAAGTCGACAAAACTTCAAACATTTTCAATCTCTTCAATAACAAATCAGGGCAAGCCACTGCCTACCTGAGAAGTAGAATTTCAACGAAAACTGTAGAGTTACACCTTCGAAAATTCCACTGTCACAACTCACGAGTCTGAAACAAAAATTTAACATCAAACGCCAATACAAATATGAACATGATCATCAAACTTAGGGAAATAACAAATGCACAGGCGCACATTTAATCAAAGTTGGGAAAATAACACATTTAATAAGAACTAATCACCAATTCACCATTAAAACAGTGTCATCAACAAAATGAATTAATTCAAATTAGTATACTGATTGTAGAAATTGAAGTTATCTTTTCTTGAGTTCATTGACATAATAATATCTCAAGTTCTCAAATATGTATTCTCACACCTTACCTATCATTCTATCAAACTAAGTTATCTCAAGAACTCTAGCACCATTTTCTTCTGGCAAAGACCAAAAAATGGAACCTGAATCTGACTTCTCTTTCCAAGTTGTCAGCACAGTTTCATTAAGATCGACAGTACATCTTTCCAATGAACATATCGCACTTTTGAGGATATATACATTTCATTAACATTAAAACTAATAAAATCAAATTATTAATTGAGTCAGATTTTCTGTATGACTTGACCAAACTGGTTTCAATTGGGAATTTCATATTGCAGTTTCTTCAAATTAAGGACAGTTCCAAGCCCTATTTATCCCAAAAAAAAAGAATGAAATGAAAATGACAAAATAGGATATATGAATATAAATCAAAATTTCTCTCCTTTATTCACTACTACAAAAGCAATTCTTACCAGATCCCTAATATGGAAGTTGAACACAATGGATAAGACGACGATTCATGCACTCACGTCTCAGTTCTCACGCCTCTCTCCAGACTCCAATTAGATTATACCCCAGTCCCCACCGACCTACGGCCCACATACTAAATAGAATAGAAAAAGAACATTTATCAATTAAAATCAAGCCATCAAAGATTCAAAATTATAATATGTAAATGGTAAAAGAGTTTAACTCACTAGGAACTCGAAGTCTCGAGCTCACTTGTTCGACAACAAAAATGCCCAGCCACTCGACAGAAGCGATATGTCAGATGAAGCCCAGTTACAAAGAGTGTTTGAAAAATCTGTGAAGATGAAATCTGGAACTCTGGAACTGGAAGACTAGCACTGGAACTCTGGAACTGGAAGGAGAAGTCGAGAGAGACGAGAGACGGAGACAAGCGTTTGGCATAAATGGGATTTCAATTTGGAATTTTGGGCATTTTGGGTAAATAGACAATGGATTATGGATATATAATGGGCTCGAGAGTTTTGGGCTGCCATAAAACAAAACAAAAGTGATAAAAAAATAAAAAATAAAATTGGGCCAAAGAAATGAGGCCCCCTGGAGTTTGGGCTTGAGGTGCGGCCTCATTCGCTTGGCCTCAGGACCGGCTCTGAACACGACCTGTTAGATGAAATGCCTTTGAGAGTGAAGCTGAGAGGGAATTTGAAACAAGGGGGGAGCTAGAATGTTCGGTTTGGGCACAATTTACTTAATATCCAACTTTGAATTTTTGGCTATGAATTTGATAATTATAAAAATATAAAATAATATTATGATAATACTAAAAATGACATAGTTTATAAATTATACTTTTTCCTTGTGAGTTTTCATACTTTGATATCATTGTACTATAACAAAAGGCGACGTGTAATTTACCGTGGAATCAAGAACAAGGTCATTCCTAATTTTGGAATAAAAGAAAAACTTCAAGTTGGAGAAGGCAAAATCAAGTTAACCCAAATCAGCATATAAGTAAAATCAAGCAAAATTTACCCTCAATTCCGTTTCTTTCTACCCTATATTGGACTATCAAGAACAAGAAGTTAAACCCAACCTCCAGTCCTCCATACATTCACATTACTCAAACACACACACAATAACAATTAAAATCATACATAATTACTCAAACAAACACTAAACGAATTCTGTGGTAAGTTTGGATTAAAGACCTTCTTCTTCTTCTGCCAATATAAGGTGAGAGACGAGAGTGAAATTTGACACGAGAAAATTGTAAGGCAACGTTTATTCATGAAGCGCGTGCCATGAACACGAAGATCGACACATTTTTAGCACTCTCAATTTTAATTGTTGAAAAAAGTGGTTCATCGAAATCGAAGTAAAACAACACAACATATAATGAAATTGATCTCCTACCTCAGTAGATGGGATAAAAGGTTCCTACAGAATATTATAAGTTTCTCTTCCCACATCAACAGTGTGGAGTTTTAATTTACTCACTGAGAGCAGGAGATTAGGGCTGCAGCCTATAATTACCGACCAAGAAATTCAAGAATAAGAACAAATTCTGTGGCCGATTATACATGCATACTTACAAATTTATAATTTTTATGCGTGTATATATATGGAACTTTCTTTTGTCTCAAAATCCAGTAGATATTTAATAGCAATCTTTGACGAGAAAGATTGTCGATGGTGTTAAAGAGCTGGAGAGATTTTCATAATATTATCCCGAGTGTTAAAAGGAATTGAGGTCATGCAAAGTTTGCTTTTTGTTCAGACGATCCTTGGGTAAAAAACTCATACAATTTCATTAGACTAAAATACGAAGATATGGCTCTTTCTAATTCTTTTCCTTTTTCTTACATGATTCTTATGTTTAATTTGTCTTCAAAGCTATGTGTCCACTGAATAAAGAAATATCTCAATTTTATTGGACCATGTTATAGTAGATAAATATATATTGTATAGCGTTATACTTTCGTATCTTGTGTTAAACGATGGAAGCTTGATTTTCTTTAAATCTTAATCCCACGTATATGGATTAGATTTTTGTCAGATTAAAGGTCCACTGGCTGGAATTCTCTCGAAGACGCCCTACTGGAGATTCTGAATTCCCAATTGAACCCCCTTCTTCCAAATTTTGCTTCGAAATCAAATCAATTATTCTTTATCTCTCACCCGAGAGACCCGGGTTCCAGTCCGCGCAAAGGAATTTGCGGTTGTGTATACACGCTTTTTGGTTAAATAAACTTCCCCCCATTTTAGGACTTGAATTCTTTCCATTAACAGATTTTACAAATAGAGGCGCGAAGGGAAAGTGCAAAACTCTCTTCCCAATTTAATTTTTCACAGAACTTCATAATCTTTATTCTTTCCTACCCAAACGAGTGGACGAAACATACATTAAACCAAATCCTAGCATCGATGCAGATCACGCAAAAATTACACACATCAATAACCTCTTCATCTACAGCTTTTATATAGGTTAAGAATAGGTTGAATACTACGAAGAGAACCCTGAAATGCAAGAAACATAAAGGCAGACTGCCACATTACATAATTACAGACAACAGGACACATCCTCGACCTAAACAACAAAACACGGTGACTAACTGTCTTTCAAACTATATATATACTGAAGAGTTTCCAAATTAGTTCCCTCCTTCACAGCACACAAATTTTATTGCTTCCGATGAGTCATCACTGCCTCCGAGTTTGTTTGCAATTTACTGACAGAGATTTACAGATTCTCCAACGTGTCAAGTGCATCACCTCCTACGCCGTTTAGTCTCCACCTGAAACCACACAATGTGTGATTAAATATGTATAAATATGAATATACATTCTATAGGAGTCCAAACAGAGTGGGGAGTTATTTTGGGGCTGGATGACATTGCATTGTTTCATTCAAAGAACAGCATGATAAGGTATTAAAAGGTATGTACAGATAATCTCAGTGGTTTGCCCATTCACAAAAGACCTGCTCGCGTTTCCCCAAACATTACAAGCATGTTGGCTAAGCTTGAAAGTAAGTAGAAGTTACTTTTGAGTAACTATTTCGATTCCAAACAAGTTTGTATATATTATTAAATTTTTTCTTACTTCTATAGAGAAAAAATGTTAAAATAACCCTTACCTTACTCTCAAAAAAATAACTAACCTTCTCTACTTTTACCAATAAAAAACTATTAGTTGTAAAACCTATAAGTAAATTTTACTGATAAATTTTCTAACGTAGCCAAACATGCTCTAAATCTCACAACTATATCTAGGTCAGCTGGAAATGGGAAAGAGAGATGGTAAATCTTTTTATTGTATTCAAATACGTTGTGTGCTTCAAGTTATCCTTCAGGAGAAACAACTGGATGCCTCACATACAAAAATGTAGAGGCCCTGTTTGAGCCACATTTTTTGAATAAAATACATTCTTAAACAGTGATTTGACATCATTTCAACCACACAGTTTTTCAATAAAATAATATTACACGTAAATTCAAAACTTTTCCTTATTTTTTAACCACATATTTCCCATCAATACACTATTCAAAAATGCATTTTTTTGTGAATAATGTGGCTCAAACAAGGGCAGAATAAGAAAAACCAAAGAATTGATTTCTCAAGTGAGATATAGGCCTATAGTAAAAATCTCATTTGCCAAGCAAGTGCAACAACTAGTAATCAATATGATAAAAAGGCCAATGGAAAATGAAATCGAGATACAGAACACTCCCATAGCTACAAAGTAAAGACCATGGCGTTTTTCCAGCCATAAGGCATAATGTAGAATATTGATTCGTAGAATTAACGAGACTCGATTGTGCAAGCTGGTTTCATTTAGATCTTTCTATGTATAATTATTAGCGAAAACGTTTTAAGCTTTTGAAAAGGTAGATCAATCCTAGGCATGTTGAAATTATCACTGACAGTAAATGAATTTAGTTATTTCACAACTTGCGTTCAAAAAGGCTTAAAGCATCCCAAGTCATGCTAAGAATATCTAATCCGAGTAACATGCCTTAGCCTTAGTAAACTTGATGCTAAAGAAATCATAATCAGAAGAGCAGAAATATAAATAGTATGCAGTAGCATGATTACTTTTGTGTCTGCATGTCTGGAAGCAACATGAGAATTCTGTAACTTCTGTTCTTGGGAGGAACAATTATGACAAAAGAAGTGGTTGATTCGTTTGGCTTCCTCTGTAGTCATGTCGATACAATTTGGATGAAACCTGAAACAGTTGTAAAATTGAATATTTAAATGCAGTGTTTAAAAGTTACTTATTGGTTAAATTAATATATAAAATGAAAATCACGATAAATTAATGCCAATATCAATAATTAAACATTGAGGAGTAATAAATACCACCAGATGTAGGGTGATTTTCATCATTTTTTTTTTTTTACATATCCAGTCAAGGTATTTTCCAGTTAGATGATAATCCAGAAAATATAAAAAATTTCTTAAGCTTCCTATCACAATAAGAGTAAAGACTAATTAATATTTGAGAAGTTTAACCTATAGATTATAGCAATCCATGAGACCTCCAGCAATTCTCGTTTATGAATTGTATAGCTCATCTACCGATGCAAGTTTAGTGGCATCTTTTTTTCCTTTTTTTTTTTTTTCCTCTCCATCTCACCGAGCCCAATAATTGAGGACCTTGAAATAGAGGTATGTTGTAGGAGAATAAAACAATAATTTCACTTGCACCAAATAGTTCGCAAAAGGCTAACAGCAAGACCATTATTCATAAATCTTCGTGGAGTCTAGATCTTGATTAATATTATGAGGCATTTGGAACAGCAATTATTGAAGGTGTCACTGTTCTAAATATCAATAGAAGAGTTCCTCACACCCGGAGCATTCAATAAGACCCTTTAAATTTAGTTTTATCACAAGACTTCTTTCTTTGCAGAACCAAGTAATGCTGTGCCGAACTATTAGAGAGTAGATCTTCCTCAAAGGAGTTAGCTAAACATGTAACATCCATTTGTAAAGGAATTTCATCCTCACTACTTTGAGAAGTGAAAGGGAATTTTATCAATTAACTCGCAATAAAATTATCTAGAATCTTTCCCGAGTAAATAGCAAATATTTATTAGCTTGTTTCTTGCAAAGAACAAGACTATATCTTTACGCATTTTGAGTAATAGAATGAGAAGTGCCTGAAGGACTGTTATACATGCACAACAGCACATCATAACTGACTAGGAGACGAGAAAAGAGAATCGACAGAATTAGCCAACAATAATCAGCATAGATCATTAACAGCACTAGAGAGGTACTGTGATGCAATAACTACTATTGAAATTACCGAGAGTAGACTTCAACCAGCTCTAGTAAGCAAAAGCAACGTAGTGACTGTTAAAAAATGCAAAGAATATGGGGACCAAATTTAATTTTACGTGAAGATAGTAAAGAAAGGCGTACTAGCAGGGCAGCATAAGTCATCAATTACGAGAGAGCTGAATAAACAAATACCATTATTGTGGTAAACACTAAGAATAATGCTGCTTGTACATAAGCAGTTACATGATGATTTAAATATAGATGAGATGTCAAAAAGAGAGTGAAGAATTTTTTATTTTTATTTTTTGTTGAAGAAATTATGACACAATCATATTTCACCACATTGTATGTATGTAAACCATTATTTAAACCTATTGCATACATGTAGCACAACCAAAACACCAATTACATTAAGATTATATAAAAATTATAAATGGTGCCTTTCGCTAGTGGCAAGAGCCAGATTCAACCAGTTAACACCGTTTCATGATTTATATAGATAATTGAATAGTGCACATGTAAGAAACTAAACAGTAATTTTGATACATAACAAGAACTAACTTTAAACAAATTAATAAATAATAGAATGATGGTCATGTCCACCAAAATGAGGGCCTAAATTCCCTCTCTCCCTGGAAATAGAAAAGTGAAAGCGAAAAAAAGGATGCCTACCCACTGTTTGGATGACCTGAGTATGCTCTACATCACAGATATGCTACAAACACTTCACCTCAACCTTGCTCCTACCTTGAGTTGCCACAATATTATTGTTAATTCATTTTTGAGTGGAAGTAATAGAAGTTCAATCTAACATGAAACAGATGATAAAGCAACATTATAATTATAAAATCTTATTCATCCCAATTTGACAGAATCATTACCCTTCATAAAACTGTGACAATTACAAATAAGCCCTGCCATACTCAGCATAGAAGCTAGGACAATCAGTGGCGCAACAATAATATAAGTGTTTCAGAAAGAAATTATGCTATTATCAAACCTATTATTCACTTCATAAGCATATACACAATAACCTTACCAGCCCATAACACTGTAATCATGTATCAGCTAAAAAAGGAACATGAGATCCTACAAGCTCAAAGCAAATGAATAGAGTTTCGCATTCATTGAGCTCCAGTAAGTTACTTCTTCTCAACATAGTATGAAAAAATTGGCAGAATAAAGTATATCACAAGATGAAACCATGTGAAATAAAAAACCGAAACAACGATTCAGGGTCGTTGAACTCACCAGTCACTGCATTCTTCACATTGAACCATAAGATCATCGGGATTGTAAGGCATCTCACATTTACAGTACCTGCCAAATCATGATGGACCAGGATATTTTAAAAACTTGGACAACCAACTATTTATACTTCCAAAATTTGCAGTCTACATTCTAGTAAACAAACAAACCCATCACGTATCCATACCATAAATGTACAACTAGATAATTCTAAATCATCAGTTGAACATGAAATCATCAAGGTTATGATCAAGCAAATACTGCATATTTTACTGTTTCATCTCTGTAGTGTATAACCTAAGCTCAGAATGTGAAATTTTACAACAATGAAATAATAATTTATTTTCACAAATTAGTAACTGTATTTCGATAACATTTCTGCTAATCATACATCACCCCATACCTAAGGGTGTCCATCCTCGTGATTGGTGAGGCGCCAATGGCGAGGCGCCGGGTGTCCATAATGGACACCCTTATGTACAATGTGATGTGCCTTTAGCAATTTTGTTTCGATAATGGCCAATCAAATCTGCCTCATCATCGAGGCAAAATATGCTGACACGCGCATTAAAAAACAAAAATATCATCACACTAGTTGAATTAGAATAAAACAAGTCTATATATTTAAAATAAGAAAATGAAGAGCTAATGGTATCAACTTAAGGTGATAAATGTGCAAATTGTTAATAAGAACCAGCTTGGCCAGCTATAAAAAACACAGAACCAAAAGGCATGCATTTTCTAGTAAAGTTTGACAGAAGAACTTTAACTAGCTGTTTTCACTTAAAAATAGCAGCATCTTTTGCAATTGAATTGTCACATAACTGCTTCTATTTTTTTAGGGTGAGTTATCACCCAATTAAAAGGGAAAAAAATAATTCACGAACAACAACAAAAATAAGAACCTATAAATCTTATCGTTTTACAAAGATTTACAGCTAAGCCAGAAATTACATAATTTATCCAGTGAAAACAAGAAAATTTCATGGACTAAAATTGCAATTGTCCAGAATATCAAAACTTTTTTCTCTAATGTGAATGACAAAAATTATAAACCAATTAACTTTTTCAACCCCTGTGCATCTGTAACTCCACTAAAATAAAAAATTCAGCCACCAAACTGAACAAATTTAATCAACTACAGATCATAATAGATCATATAACCACAACTCATACACGGGGACTCTATCGGGATTGAAGGCACCAGTAGACGAATTGTATTCGAAGCGACAAAAGAAATCGTCGTTTCCAACAGCATCAAGCTTGGTGTAGGTATTAAAGCTGTGGACCGTACACTTGCCCTCGATTGTGTCACCGCTCTGACTGTCCAAATGGTCGGACAAAAACAACTCCTTGGAGCCGTGGAACTGCCGGCGGCCGCCGATCGACTCCTCCGGCCGGTAGTACCACCGTACGTGCACCCTCACGTTCGCTCCTCGACTGTCCGACTCGATCTTCTCCAGCCGAGCCACGTACGACGGCTTCGACGGATCAGTCGGCCGCATCAATACGCAATCTCCGGCTGCAAAAAAATCGACAAAAATCAAAATACTAACAGTAATTAGTCTGTCGTATCATGTGGTGTAGAATTTCTTGAAAAAAAAAATAATAATTAATTAAAACTTACGCCGGACAGTTTTGTTGATGTGTTTAACGGTATAGGAATCTAGAGTACGGCGGGCGGCCCTGGCTTTAGCCATGGACAGTGGCAAAGTAAACGGAACTGAGGAGAGAGCGTGTGTACTGAAACAAGATAACTGTTGACTTTGATGTATATCAACCTATTGTTTAATATTTTGGATAATACCGCTTGTACATTCACTCAGATCAACCCTGTT